CCAAAAACGAAGTCCAGCCTGCTTCCAGACGACCTGTGCCGGACCCTGATGCCTTTGTATACCTATAGCGACCCGGTCCTCACGATTGTTTGCTGCTGCAGCTATGCTTTTCAGGTACCATTCATGCGCTAGAGTTATAGATACCTGAGCCACGAGCCTGCTCAGCTCCTCACCATGTGATACGCGCTCTTGAAGTTAATGTCGAAACAACATGTGATACGCGCTTTTAAAGCTAATGTTGAAACATCGAAACAACATGTGATATGCGCTTTTGAAGTTAAAGTTGAAACAACATTCATTCAGTGGCATTCGCGGAAATATTATATGTTGTGATGTTCTAAATCTACTGCTTATCGTGAGTACTACATGCATCGATAGCAATAAAGAACAAAGGATGCAACACAGCATCCTTCTTTACTCCTTGTGATTCGCGCATAATTGTTAGATAATGAGTGTTTCCGTCATGGATATGTATAATGCTCAACCACATTATAAGTTCACTGAAACTCCTGTTTTTTGCATCGGCGATAAAGCCGTCGTTCTCTTACACGGTGATGTTTAGGGCACTGGTTGCAGCCAACAAGCTCTTGAACAATGGCCGCAAACAGAAACTGAGAAAAAATGTAAAAACTGTGATTCTTATCTATGCAAGTAACTACAGGTATGTTGTACAGTGCAAATATACCAGTCTTATGTCAAGATCAGTTATCTGTTCAGAGACAAAGACTTCAACGATGCCAGAGAATTGGCGGAAGAAATCCGACGCAATGGAACGGATATTATGGCAGTGGCGTTTGATCAAGGAGGAAAGATAGATGCCTTAGAAAGAATGGTCGAGGTAACAAACGCAACCTTTAGGGTATTTTCTTACCCTTATTTTTTTGTAGATTGCCTCACCTGGACATTTCTTCACCAGTAGACTTCTCTATCTATCAAGATCAATAAAGCAAGCACTTTGCGAAGGTATTTTTTTTGTTCTGACTCCTTGAAAAATTGTCAAATGAGTTAAGTTAATTGCTTCTGCAAATCAAGTTGGCATCATTACACTGCCTTAATTGGAAGAAAGATTAGGAAGTACGGAGTTTGCTTACAAATCGGTAAGACTACTCTTTTTTCGTGCTGGTGTCAATTCTAATATTTGCAGGCGAAAAAAATGCAAACTGGATGTCAGTAAGCGACTGCGGTCGAATTTTCCAGGGAAAAAATTGTCATGGCAGTGGGCCGAATAGTCCCGAATATGGTTTCCTCGCTCGTAAGGATAAATTCTGCATTTTATCATTTGACCGGCAACGTAGGTAATAAAACCTCCTTTAAGAAACCATCGGAAATAAAACTCAGTCTAATTACAACATTGGATTGTCTTACAATGCGGAAATGGAGCAATATTATTGGAATCAGCCTTCCGGTTCAATTCCACTCAAGGTAAAATCTGACCTCTTGTTCCGCATATTTATCTACGGAGGCTCTCTGATGCACGTCAAGAAACAAACTTTATTTGAAACAGTAACTTTTTGCGATTGCTCCTTCTTATTACGCTATCACAATTTGTCCTGCTGGCCATCCAACTTTTTATAACCATTATCACAAAAAATAACTGTAACATCATTTTAATTTCAGCATGCTTATCATTGCTTGACAGCACTAGAAGATTATTGTTCGTTAACGTCTTGTCGTCTATCAATTATTTTTTGCATTGCAGTTTGAAAGGGTTGACGAGGATTGTCTGGCATCAAGGGAATACATCTGCCAAACACAAACATGCGACACGGACAATTACTGCGAAGATGTATAATAAAATCAGAAATTATGGTCCTTAACATTCACCAGCTAAAACGAAGCATTTGAAATTGAACTTTCATAGTTGGATTTCCTTTGTTGCCGAAACCACCACAATATAATCGATACGACCAAGTAGTTCTTTGCATATTATTGAGATGCCATTAACATGAGTGAAATAAATTTTAATTCAACTTGTAAACAAGAATAGTATGAAAAATTAGATGCTGACAGGGCATAAGTTTTTTCCGAAATGATAACAACAAAGCTCTGTTACCTCAGATTAGTTTCTGACCATTTTTATTAATCTACAGGTCAAGCAGAGATTTAACTGAGACTGTGAGTTGATTTGCATTAACTTTGCAATATTCATTGGACACCTTAGATCTCGAATTTGTAAGCTAGTAAATAGATATAGATACATACGACCACCGCTACTTGTGCAAAAGAAATGGAAATCAT